AAAATCTGCTATAAAATTCCTATCTGTAAATGTCTCCTTGGCATCATGGACTCGAAGGAAAATACTTTACTATTGGATTTTCCCACTAACTACAAACTTATTAGGGATTTTCCCACTGACTACAAACTCATTTGAACATGTCCAACAGATTAAAACCCCATCTTTGGAATATGTGCCCATGTTAGAATGATTGCTGAGTTGACGCACAGCTTTCAAATAACACTAATTAAATATTAATTAAATCAGGCACTTTTTTTTTAGTTAAGAAAACTACCTAAATCAAAAAAGCTATTGGCTATTACCAATCTAATCTACAGCCTGCTCTTCTGTTTAATCAGAAATTATGTGGGGAGCTATTTTCTTGTTTTTGACAGATGGACTACTGGTTGTACCTCATGTTTATCCTAACAATTCTTACTGTGAAACAAATATTTAACTACTGTAATAAATATTTTTTTAAGTGTTGGGGTGAAAAAGAAAATTAAAATAGTTCATTTGGGACATGTTAGTCCATTAAATGGCCAAATAGTTAGGGGACGGTTAGGAAGCCTCTGCAGACTGACCCTGTATGGACACATGTCCAGGGCTCAGGAAATGGAAGTGACTAATAGCCCTCTAGTTTACTCGGGCAACCTAAAAACCTCTAAAATGGAACAGCAATTACCCCTTCATTTCAAACATACAGAGAAATCTCACCATTCAACCAGAAACCTTACACTGAAGGCTATTAAAAGAAAATACCATTCTAAACATAACATTTCTCTGTCTAAAAAAAATTATTGAAAAATTCTTTGGCTAATTTTTGCCAACACATTTCCTTCCTTCTCTTCTCTACTAACCCAAGCCCAAGAGAGCCATGGTAACTCAATCCCACTGTTATTTGGAGCCGTTACAGGACTCTAGTCATCGCAGCTTTGTGTGGTTCTCTGTGGATGTGAGAGGGTGAGTGCTGTGAGGACAGGGACATCTTGTGCAGTTGTGTGTACTGCATTCCACCTAACGTAGTGTCTTCCCCACTGCAAGTGCTCACTGAGTTCACGTCTTTATTTCCCTGGCCTCCGGGCCCTGCATGATCTGGCCCCGAACCCTCTGTATCTGATCTCCCACTCTCTCTGCAGCCACACTGCTCCTGTTCCCCTTCCCGCAGTTAAGCTCCCCTACTCCTTTGCACTCACTGGAACCCCCTTCCTTCAATTTCTCTGCAGGACCCATTCTCCTTTTGTCAGATCCCTGCTCAAACTCTACCTCCTCAGAGAGGCCTGTCCTGACCACCCTACCTGCAGTGGCCACGCTCTAACTCCTAGCAGAGCACCGTTTGGTCTTAGTGAAGCCATATGAGGAGCTGAGATGATTGGATAAATGTATGTCGCTTTGTGAGAATCTGACTTCAACAAAACACGGGGAAAATTTTAAGCTTCTGAAACAAGGATCAACAAACTATGTCCCAAAGACCAAACCCAGCCAGCTGCCTGCTTTTTTGTAAATGAACTTTTATTGAAACCCAGCCGTACCCACTCACTGACATACTGTCTGAGGGGCTCTCCAACTACAATGGCAGAGTTCAAAGTTGAGTAGTTCGCAATACTGCCATTATTACTGAATGATTTGGCCCTTTACAGAACGAATTTCCAACCCCTGATCTAGCAGAATGGGGAGTTACATATCCAGAGCTCTCCTGCATGTCCCTTCAAGTGAGATTGTGACAGGACACTAGACTTCAGACAATGCTTGGCTGGATTCTTGGATAAACACTTGAAGAACCAAGATTCTGTGTTTGTCCCGACATTATGTGACACATGTCAGTTCAAATGTATTAACATGGCATGACCAAAACCCAGCAAGGAAGAATACACTCACATCAGCCAGGAATCATTTTTGTGAGGCTGAGACAAATAGGATGGAAAAGTTTTTTGCCCAGTGGCTTGAAGTGTGAGACCAACAGACAACTAAATTCAAACTATATTACATTCTCAACTAATGTAACAAAGAATCTAAACACATACCTTGATTTTGAAAGCTCTTTTGAATCCACTGGCAAAGAAACCTCCAAATGGTCCAATCAAAGACGCAAACGTGGAAAGAGCAATGCTGTGTATCTGGAAAGGATACAAGCTCACTGTTTCCTAAAGAAGAAAAAAAGGAGAGAAAGGTTCGGGCTAACAGCATCAAAACTGAATCTGAGCATGCCGCCTAAACTAAGAACCATGATGTAAAACAATAACTCAAAGTACATGCCATATTTTTGTTAATTTCACAAACTTTCAGGATCATAGGAAAAAAATATTTGTTGTAAGATCTTATTACCATCCTCTGCTTAGCCAGCACTCCCCATTCCCTCTGTAAGCACCTGTTGCACTAAAATCTGACAGGCTACTTTTTTAAAAATTGAAGTATAGTCAGTTATAATGTATCAATTTCTAGTGTACAGCATAATGTCACAGTCATATATATACATATATATATTTGTTTTCATATTCTTTTTCAATGAAGGTTATTACAAGATATTGAATATAGTTCCCTGTGCTATACAGAAGAAATTTGTTTTTTTATATAGTTTTTATATAGGTACAGTAGTTAATATCTGCAAATCTCAAACTCCCAATTTATCTCTTCCCACCCTCCTCTCCCCCCAGTAACCATAAGTTTGTTTACTATGTCTGTGAGTCGTTTTCTGTTTTGTAGATGAGTTCATTAGTGTCTTCTTTTTTCTTTTAGATGCCACATGTAAGTGATATCATATGGTATTTTTCTTTCTCTTTCTGGCTTACTTCACTTAGAATGACAATCTCCAGGTCCATCCATGTTGCTGCAAATGGCATTATTTTATTCTTTTTGTGGCAAAGTAGTATTCCATTTTATGTATAAATATACCACAACTTTTTTATCCAGTCATCTGTCAGTGGACATTTAGGTTGTTTCCATGTCTTGGCTATTGTATATAGCACCGCTATGATTACTGGAGTGCGTGTATCTTTTTGAATTAGGGTTCCCTCTGGATATATGCCCAGGAGTGGGATTGCTTTTTAAATGAAGCTTTTAAATGAAGCTTAATCTCTGGGATAGAGGATCCCTACCGTGTTATCTTACCCGTCTCAGCACTGCCTTCAGAAAGGGAGGAAGTGAGTAACTCTGGAGCTGGAAAAGTTCTGAGGGTTCACATTCTGTAACGAAGGAGTTGACATCACTGCGGTACTCCACCGGGCAGACAAAGTACTGGTATTTGGATAATACGTATGCAGCCTAGATGACCAAGCAAGCATTCATGAAACACTGAATGAAAATATATATATACACATTTAAAATATATATATGTCAGGAAGGCCAGAGAAAGAATGCCAAACTTTCCTTGCATTCACATTCTGTTAAGTATTTTCAAAGTTAAATGATCATAACTGACACAATAAAAGACTCTGAAAAGCCATTAGAAAACAAAATGTTTTCAGAAATCAGTGTGATTATAATCTCTGTATGACCACAATAAAAAGAGGGAAGGGGAAAGAGAAAAAGAAGCTGATTTGAACATTTAGCCAAGCATTATAGCAAAGTGTTACTTTTTTTAAGTACACATATTTAGTGTCAGCAGAAGCTAACAATTATAAACGTATGAGAAAGTGCAGGACATTAGTTTTTTGCATAAAGGTTATATTAATTTCATGAATTAAAAAATAACCAGTGATTCAAAATTACGAAGAAAATAGCACAGTGAAAAACACTGTTATTCTTAACCAACCCAGAAAATGTTGACTAAATTACTCTTTCCCTGGATGCATCACTGCAATTTTAAAAACTAGCTGTTCTCAGCCATGGAAGAAAATATATAAAACAAAATATCTTATAATAAATTTAAATTGCTAGACAATAGTTTATTCCCTTTCTTTTGCAGGTGTTCACACCATTATTCTGCTCAAGAATGATTAATGGAAGTACAACTATGACCCTAGAAATGGATGTAAATTGATTTTGCTTCCAAACAACCAGTTTCCTCAAAATCACTTATTATAAATTTACATAACTTCCCTCTTCATTATTTTTTCATGCATTACTTTCTTATAGGATAGCTCTTTATTTTCTTCCAATGATATGGCAGTCCTTGTAGTATTTCTAAATTAGTCTTTAATAATGCCAAATTCAGGTGGTACTGTTTAACTTAATAATATTCTAATTATGCCTGCTACATAATGTATAAACATTAGACGGGTCCCAGACACTTTATCATTTTTCTACTTATCAATTATCTCATCAATACTCTATGAAATAAACACGAATAATATTTAAAATTCTATTGGAATTTTCATTGAGAATGAACTAAACTGATAAAACAGACGAATTATGGTGGTTTTCCCATTTAGGAACCTGGCTTATTTCCATTTATTTGTATATTTGCTCCCTCTCAAAGCTCCATGTTGCTCTATATTTGGCTACAGAATATATTCTAGAACTGTCAGGGACTACATTCTTAAAAAATTAAACTTCCTGACAGTAATTTTTGGGGGTATATTTATCTTAGATTAAGCCATTTTTCTGTACTTTTTTTGATTCTCACAAGACACCTCTGAATGAGAACCTAAATTCCATTAAGTGTACACTAATTTTTAAAACATTAACAATATCCATTATTCATAGCTAAAAGTAAACGTCAATTATTTTTAACCAGCTTTCTCTGTAAGCTGGGCTCATAGCAGTAAGCGCCCACCAAGGCAAGCAGCACATCATTTGCATTCTCTCCTTTTACTCAAAGCCACCACCCATCCCAGCACCTGTGTCCCCCACAAGGCAGAACAGCTGTTAAAAACTACTCAAACAATAGCACAACCGCAGGCCTCAAGACTCGCTGTACATTAGAATCAACTGAGAAAGGTAATTGGCCTGGAGAGGGCTGGGATGTAGGTGGTGTATAAGGTCCCCGGGGGGTTCTGGTGCAAGGCCAGGATGAGTGCTGCTAGGTGGGGTATAGAATACTAGTGGACCTCGTTTTATTGCACTTCACTTTATTGCATTTCACAGATACTGTGAGTGTTTTTTGTTTTTGTTTTTGTTTTTTAACAAATTAAAGGTTTGTGGCAACTCTGCCTCAGATAAGTCTATCAGGGCCATTTTTCCAACAGCATTTGTTCACTTCGTGTCTCTATGCCACATTTTGATAATTTGCACAGTATTTTAAACATTTTCATTATTACTCTATTTGTCACACTCATATAAGATAACAAACTTAATCGGTACGTGTTGTGCGTATTCTGACTGCTCCACTGACCAGCCACGTCCTCCCGTCCCTCGCCCTCTCCTCAGGCCTCCCTGTTCCCTGACACACAGCAGGATCAGGCCAGTGAATAATCCTACACTGGCTTCTTAAGTGTTCAGATGAAGGGAAGAGTCACATGTCTCTCATTTTAAATCCAAAGGTGGAAATAACTAAGCCTAATGATTAAGATGTTAAAAGCTGAGACAGGCTGAAAGCTAGGCCTCTTGGACCAGTTAGTGAAGTTATGACTGCAAAGGCAAGTTCTTGAAGGAAATCACAAGTGCTGCTCCAGTGAACACACGAATGATAAGGAAGCCCGACAGTCTTAGTGCTGATATAGAGAAAGTTTTAGTGGTCGGGCAGAAGCTCAGACCAGCCACAACATTTCCACATGCCAAAGCCTAATCTAGAGCTCTAAACATGAGCCCTGATGGCGATGTGCAACGAGAGTAATGTTGTTTCTGTGCCTGCTAACACGTCTATTCTGCAGCCCACAGATGAAGGAGAAAGTTCCACTTTCAAGTCTTATTATTTAAGAGATACATTTCATAAGACTACAGCTGCCCTAGACAGTGACTTCTCTGATGGGTCTGGGCAAAGTCAATTGAAAATCTCCTGGAAAGGATTCACCGTTCTAGATGTCATTAAGAACATTAGTGAGTGATTCACAGGAAGAGGTCAAAATAACATTAGCAGGAGTTTGGAAGAAGCTGATCCCAGCCCTCATGGATGACTGTGAGGGATTCAAGACTTCAGTGCAGGAAGTGACTGCAGATGTGGTGGAAACAGAAGGAGAACTAGAATCAGAAGTGGAGTCTGAAGATGGGACTGAATTTCTGTAATCTCATGATAAAACTTCCACAGATGAGGAGTTGCTACTTATAGATGAGCAAAGTAAGTGGTTTCTTGAGATGGACTCTATTCTGGTGAAGATGCTGTGAAATGACAACAAAGGATTTAGAACCTGACATACGTTAGCTGATAAAGCAGCGGCAGGGTTTGAGAAGACTGACTCCAGTTCTGAAGGAAGTTTTACTGTGGGTAAAATGCTATCAAGCAACACTACACGCTACAGAAGAGTCAATCCATGTGGCAAACTTCACTGTCCTATTTTAAGAAATTGCCACAGCCACCCCCACCTTCAGTAACCACAACCCTGACCAGTCAGCAGCATCAACATGGAGGCAAGAGCCTCCACCAGCAAAAAGATTATGACTTGCTGAAGGCTCAGATGATGATCAGCACTTTTTAGCTGTAAAGTATTTTTAAATTAAGGTCTGTACATTGTTTCTTTTTTTTTTTTTTCAGATGTGATGCCATTGCACAGTTAACAGACTACAGTATAACATAAGCAAGACTTTCGTACACACTGGGAAATCAGAACATCCTTGTGACCTGCTTTATGGCAACACTCATTACAGAGAGGTGACCTGGATCCAAAACTGCAATATCTCAGAGGTGTGCACGTAGCTTCTGTTTAGTGGGTTTCAGTTAAAGTTATTTGCATTTTGGGGTTTATTTCTTTTAGGTTTAGAATAGACTAATAAACTTGCTTCTGTTTTTCAGAGTATAAATAAAATAAAAATCCTAGTAAAACTCACGATGAATCCAAACACGACAGTGGAAAAGAAACCGCCAATGAATCCTTCCCAAGTCTTTTTAGGAGACAACTGAAAAAGGACAAATAAAATAGAATGTGTTACCACTCACAAAATACACAGATACATATGCAGGCTGTGCTCCGTGAACTCCCACCATACCTCGTACATCTCTCCTTACTGTTTTTTTTATTAGGTAGGCTCTGCAGCCCTTTTTCCTTCAGTCCACGAGCCTGAATTTATTTGTGTGGATCTCTAGGAGTGTCTAGCACATATTAGACCCTCAGACGTTTGACACACTGTGAATATTTATTCCTGTAAATAGCCTCAATTTATTTTTTTCACTCAAAGGACTATTTATGCTGAAATAATTGTCCCATAGTCTTCATGATTATATAAGGCCCCACAATAGTGCAGTTATTGAAATAAGGATGAGATATGCTCATTCTAAGTATACATGGTCTGCGGCGACCTGCTACTGATCAAAAATAAAATCACAAAACATGAACACTGCAGCGCCCCAGGTTCCCATATACTCCCAGATGCCATGCTTACAGCAGACCTCATTCTGAAGTGGCAACGTTCCCCACAGCCCCAGGCACAGTATTTGCCCCATGGGTATGCACATATCCTCCTCCCTTTGGTCACAATATACATCTGTCTCCATGAAGAAAGAAACATGTTGTGCTTCTAAGAATAGACAGGGTTTGTTTCAGATTCCAGCTATTGTTTATTCGTCAATGGCGCATTCAGGGAGAGAAATCTGGAGGAAAGTCTAGAACTTGGTGAAGCAGGGGCAGGAGGCAAAGATATAGAAGTAGACACAGTGCTAACTGCCTGAGATGCTCTATAAGATAAAGGCTCTGTATGAGGCTTTGGTTAACAGGAGATCACGGACAGCCTCTGTGATAATCCTTCCAGTGGATCCAGGGGGACAGAAGTCAAAGAAATGTCAGAGGGAGGTTTCTGCAGCTAGAAATGGGTGACATGCTAAAGCACACAAGTTCTTGTCCTGAAGCTTGCAAAGTGCAAAGCCTTTCCTGACAATTCTCCCATAGAGAAAAGGGGCTGATATACACCATCTCCTAGGATGATTCAGTATGTTTATCATGAAGTAGGAGTTGACTCGAATTCAGAAGTGCCTGCTGATTACTTTAAAGATAACTTATCAAATTAAATTGACACGTATCATACTGATTTAGGGGTTAACTCGCTTGATTACAACTGGGTATGTCACACAACTAATCCAGCCTGGTAATGCCCTAGAACCCAATGTTCAAAATCAGACAGAGAGATTCTCCTCCGGGCTCTGAGGGCTTTCTAAGCCAACAACTTCTCAGCTGGCATGGAAGCCCTGACTACTTCATCATGAACTTGCTCTTGTGCTGAAGCAGCTTTAGAAACTTTTAAAAAATGTCTGACTTTCAGGGCAGTATCCCTACAACTCAGCCTGATGCCATGTGCTGCACTCCTATGTGGGGAAGAATTTAAGAAAGGTGTTTTTGAAGGATGAGCAGTCCACACATTCCCCTGGGAAGATAAACTACCCTTCCATCACTCTGAACAAACAGGTTTTCTATCTGAACAACTGTCTCAGTCCCTCCAAAAATGCCTTCATATAATGACACCAAAATAGCCAATTACTGTATTTGTGAGAATGTTACAAAAGACTTTGCCCAGTAGATGAACTGAGGGAATCCTATCTAAAGCCTCAACATGAAAAGCTCTTCTTTTTAAAGAAATCAGTTCTAGAAAAAAAAAAAGTGTTTTTCCACGAGGACTTGCTTTGTTTCTCTCTTTCCCAAGATGGGGGCTAGGTAAATGACTTCATTTCCTTCTTGGCCTCCACTGACTGTAAACAACCAAACCGACGGGAAAACAACACAGTTCGCTCACGTGTATTTTCCTGTTCCACACCTTAACCTTTCCTTATCACTTGCATCGTTAGTGTTTTATTGCAGGGCGTCAATTTTTTTTTTGAAAAAAATTTGGGTGTAAAAGTCTCACAAGTGGACATGAGTATGTGAAGATGGCACAATACATGCTTGCCGACAGTTTGGTGGAGGAGGAGATAAATGAGAGGACAGCAGAGCTGAGGAAGGGCCTTTTGAGAGGGTGGTTGGGGAGCAGAGTAAAGCACACACAACAGCCCTGGGAAAGAGACCAGCAGAAAGATGACAGGAGCCTTCATGGGAGAGGATGACTGATGGAGGAGCCAAGAGAATATCTGACAAGGAACCCAGACAGAGTCACTGGGAAATATGGCTCCCTGCCCCGTACACTGGCTGCTAAGGAAAATCCAAGCAACTCAGAGTCAAAACCGTGCTACAGCACCAAACTGTTAGGGATTTTCTCCAGGGCTGACTCTTTCAGGTTACGGTAGGGGCTTGTGTGAGATTATTTTTCCATTACCTTAATTAATGGAGTCCTCCCAAAAAAAAATCCAAAAAGGTAAGCAGTTATGTCATTGCAGATAACACTTGATATTGGAACAAGGAACCTTTAAAAGAAAAAAAAAGGCAGCAGAAAAAAGTCCATGTGAGTAAGTGGCAAATATTTATACAGGCTATGACTCATGATGAACCAATGCAAAAACCCTTTGGATTACCCTGTAGCCTATTCCAGAACATAACACGTGCTAGAACATTGACAGAAACGATAAATATCAACCAAATCTGCCCATTTAGCAAGTAAGCAGAGCAAAAATCTATAAACTAATGTACTAGAAGAATGTTGCTAATAAAAATATTAAATAATAATCAATTTCCATAGCTATGGACTTTCAAATTTCAGTTTTATGAGGAATGCCAACTAGAAATTGTCATTTGCCATCTGTGAAGGCTACAAGAATGAAGTCACTGGCCACTGCAGTCTCTGAACTTCAACACACCGTGAAAGGAGTTCCAGGCAAAAGGAATGAGGCACTCGGTGCTCTGGGAAAATATGGCAGAACAGGCCTTCAGATGGGTATTTTTCAGGGGAAGATTTTTATGAGCCCGATTTCTTGCATTGTCTCCTAAAATCATTAACAAAGACATCTGCTCCTCGTGACTAACATCAACCTGCTCATGAATAGCAGCAACCTTCTGCCAGAATATGTGCGTGACTGCACGTACCCCCTTCACTAAAATCACAAATATACTGACCTCCCACTCTACCTCTTTGGAGCAGCTCCTTAGAGCTGTCTGAGAGCCTGTCTCCCAGGCTATAGTCCTCATTTGGCCTCTAATAAAACTTAACTCACTGCTCTTAAGTTGTCCTTTTTTTTTCCCCCAGTGGACAGGAACAAGTTACAATAGTATAACGAATTTTTAAAAAGCAGCCTTTCAAAATGGAAATGGGTCATTTGATTAGGCAGCGGATAAGCTGATACACTTATACCAAGCTCATAATACAAATTCTTTACGAGGTAAAACTATCAGTTTTAATTCTATGTGAGCCTATAGTTGCATTCAACCCTACAAATTGTACAGAAGCTACCAATTTCAGTAACTGCCACGCATCAATTAAAAGTTTGGATATGGAAGACAGTCTTAAAATGATTCTAATTGTTTACACACCCATATATATCTTGGTTAAAAAAACATGAACCTATCAAGGGAATAAATTTATTTTGACTAAATCCATCAACTGTAAAAGATTTTAATTAATGGATTTTAAAAGAATGTAGGGGAAATATGGTCAGATTTCTTAAAATCCTAAGATTTTTCTCCACTCTTATTTTTAACCAATAACAATTTTTATAACTTTAGCTGATTTTGAACTAATAAAAATGCTTTCTGAATCTGCAACCCACTGCTTATATAGCAAGTAACTCCAAATATCTGAAATCCGGACACCTACTCCTATACAAAGGCAGAGCAGAACTTAGCCAACTTTTACCTAGAGAAAATGCATTGCCAGCACATGGTTTGCTGATAAGGAAACTTTCCTGCTCTTTTTGTATTCCACGTAAATAGTACGCTTTTTTTTAAAGTCAAGCCTTTGTTTTTTGTTTTTTTAAAGTCACATTAAGGCGTAGTAAAACCAGAAAATGTAATTAATTGTTTGAAGCTTTTATAAAGACTTCCTGCATCTTATTTGAAACCTGAATAAGGAAGTTTTCTGGTTGTTAACAAAGTGTCTTCCACTGTCAAATAGTAAGCAAAACTTAGTAAGCTATTTTCATGGAATTGAGCAACAACAAATAATACATTTTAGTAGAACTTCTGTAAGACACTATGCAATGTAAAAGAGCTTTGAACGTGCTACGACATAAAGATAAAGCAGCATAATACTGTCCCCTTACCATATCATGCCTTCAAACAGATTTTGGATGACAAGATGTGACTGAGTAACTGTTATCAGTAAAGTGACATGAGTCCATGCGAACTGTTAATAGCCCAACAACACAACAATTAGTGAACATGACGGATCAGTGCAGCTCAGGAAGCAACAGCAATTTTGAAAACCAAATTTCTAGCATGACTACTGGTCATATTTCATACGATAAAGTCATACAAAATAATGCTGTTAGTAAATCATATTTATTTTGGGGCCTACTAAAACCTTAAAAACATGAAAACATTTAATAAAATAATCTTAGTTTATACACAAATGGAATGCTAATAATACTGAGATACACTACGAAGCTTAAAAAGACATATTAAAAACTAAACCATAATCTCGAATAATGAAATTTAAATTATAATGAGAAGTTTTTGGTGTTGCTGAGGCATTTAGATAGGAACTAAAATTTTACTCTGGCTGTATTCTCCAGTTATTGGAAATGCTAAAAACGATTCTTCTCTGAGTTCACTATGGTAACATTTTCCCATAAAGAGTGATTTCTAACTTCAAATGATTCAAACCTGCAGGGATCAATTGCCCTTAAACTCAATCTTTTCGTACTTGAAAGTTGATCTTCACAGCTCTGTTCAATGACAGTATTCAATTTCAAATTTTCAAAGGCTCTGTATTTCATCAATTCCATCTAGCCTGAGGGATGGCCACTTCAGGGAATTTCAGCATCATCAGTATGAGTAGAATGTGAATTAAAAAAGCTAATGTTTCTGTGTACTAGTCTCATAATTTTTATTGGAATTTATAAAACGATCTTTCAATTCTTTGGATTTTGATTTATTTGATGTATGTATAGAATGTTTCATCTCTACATAATATAAAATTTAATAATAATTATTATGGCAGCTAACAGCTATTGAATACTTACTATGTTTCAGGCTCTTGTCTAAGCATTTTGTAAGTATGAACTCATTTAATCCTCCCAACATTCCTATGATGTAGGTACCTATTCTTATCTCCATAATAAACCCATTTTCCATTTCAGCAAAAAATATATTAAACTGGTTGTTTTCTTTTCATCTGCTTAAAAGATCCAGTTCTCTTTTACCCTGGTTGCTTCAAAATGCATAAATGACTTTTTTTCCAGTAGGCACCATTTATATTTTCATAGCAGAGTCTATTATTTCAGAGACGGTTTCTAGATTTTTACTGATAATTTTACTCTTTCCTCTCAAGATCCCCAGAAATTAGAGATGTAAGAATACTACAATTTCCCAGCAAGGGTTCTCAGCAGAATGTCTTAATGGAGAAAAGCAAAGCATAAAGGATAGGAAATGTACCCCAAATTCAAAACAAGCCTAACTAATCCATGAATTCCCAGATCTACATACTACACTTTGCATTTTAAAGTCATTTTTGCATTTTGCATTTCTTCCTTTTAAGGAAGAAAAGTTCATCGTGTACAGTGATAAATGTCATAAAACACTGAACAATGTTCAATGATACACTGAATGAAATACCTTTGACTAAAAAGAATTCAGCAACCAGATGACTAACCATAACTGCTAAGAAAACATCAGCTCTGTCCTCCTAAGCCCAGGCTAAGAGCAGGTAAGCACACTTTCCATAGAAAAATATAGTAGATGCTTCCCTATGACTTACTAACTGTTCAGGAGATTATGGAAACATTTGAAATTTCTAGATTTAGGGAATTCAAATACTTGATTTTAATTTTATAGCCTTTGAAAATATTCAAAGAAAAAGTTTTTAGGAAACTTTGGAAACAGTTAAAATTTTTAAATCCTCAAAAAACTTTCACCTTCAACCTTTTGTATGTAATAATCATCCAAGATTCAAATACCTCCCACATTTAGATAACTAGATTAGATTATATCTTCTCACTACAGAAAAAAATTAAAGGTAAGGGTTTTTATTACATATAGTGACTACAGAATAATGATTAATACACACCATATAAAACTGCAGACGATAATGTTTCTTCACCAAGCTCAGTACAAACATGCAGAAACCTGTTCAAGAAAAAACAAAACAAAACATGTATTTGTTGTATAATCTGTTACAAAGTGTAAGACTCACATGTAAGCCAAATTTCTATACCACATCTAGCCACTCACTCATATGCCATCTCTCCTACTCTTATATTAAGCGTTTTAAGTAAAAGTTTCTTGAAGGAAATGATCCTGTGTTCTCCAAAATGCCTAATATATTCCATAGCATAAATTCAATAAACATCCCAGCATTAATTAAGTTAATTAGTCCTTTGCTGATGTGTGCACATGGAAAAACCTATCTTGAATTTCAGTTAACTAAAATTTATTTGCTATATCCATCCATCAAATGTATGTATAGAATGTTTCAATCTCTACATAATATAAAATTTAATAATAATTATTATGTCAGCTAACAGCTATTGAATACTTACTATGTTTCAGGTTCTTGTTTAAGCATTTTATAAATATGAACTCATTTAATCCTTCCAACGTTCCTATGATGTGAGGTACCTATTATTATCTCCATTTTACAGATGAATAAAAATGCACAAAGGGCTTTATTAATTTAATGGGGATCATGGAACTACAAAGGAGTCAAACCTTTAGATCCAACTGATCCTCAAGAGTCATGCATTTTTTTTTGCATATATATATTTTTATTGACGTATAGGAGAGTCATGCGGTTCTATAAACTGTTATCAGCAAGACTCGGATTAAGAATAATTTGAAGTTTCTCAGGCCGTGTTATAGTAACTATAGTAAAATACAATACTCTTAATAATTTCAAGAATCACAAACAGTATTTTGTTTCTTTGCTATTTTTTTCTTTGTTTCTGTTTATATCCTACAAATTTATTACAATGAAATTTTACTAAATAAAAATTCTACCTAATTAAGTGAAATCTAATAATTATATATACTAAATAATAGGAGGCAATATGAAGCACTTTTTGCCCAATGTATCAATAAAGTTCTGAAGATCCTAAGTATTTTTTTTTACAGACATAGATTGGGAAATGCATGAGCAAAGTTTAATTTTAGATCAGCAGCCACCCATGCATCCTATTCTGCAGTATCTTCAGAGAGTGAATTCTCTGAGATAGAAAATGAACTGTCAGTCTAGCCCATGTGAAGTAAACACTAGACTTTGTATATCCAAGTTATACTCCCCAGAGCAAGTCTGCCCACTAGGGTAAGCGAGGTTACTACTACTCTGACCGGAGCAAAGAATCAAACAACAGCTGTCTTCAGCTGTTTTTTGATGAGTGACTTGGAATGTCAGTGGAAAGGATGATGATAAAGGAAGAAAATGCATACTGGCTCCCAGATCCTACCTCAGCTCCTATTTGTCATCTACAGAATCTGACTGGTTGAACTGCAAAAGAAATATGGAAACATTTTCTGAGCAGAGGCACAAATGACAGCCGTATGTCACTTTCTTCAGAGAAAGAAGGGGGGGGGTGTTAAGACATAGAATTCATGGCACTGAAATCACCATTAGCATAAAAGACCTCTTTGAAAATCACTGCTTTTAATTTTTTCTTCACTAGCAGGTAGACCTACGGCTCAAGGAATAATGAAAGTTCTATGCTGTTTTAAGCCATTAGCCTATGGTTGAATGCGAATGGAGACTGGACTTGGTTCGAAAGCTAATGGGATAAGAGCAAAGCACAGACACAGCAGATGCCTCTGGACCCTCCCCTTCTGTCCAAACGGACCTCGCTGGTTCTGCCAGCACAGCCTCGGGGACTTCTCAACATCACTGACTATGAATTATCTCCCACATACTCCAACACGTCTGGTTTCCTCTTTCTTGAAATTGTGTAATATTGTTCACCCTTAAGTCTTTCTTCAAACAAAATTACCAGCAGACTCATTTAATGCTTTCCTAATGATCATTTTATCCAGGAGAGCCTGGCAACTCACTTTTACCTGATCCAATTTCACTGTTACATCAAGTTAACATGCAGCGTTTTAGGGTGTTCTAATAAAGGGTACAATTATCCGACTCCTAGATACATTAAGACAGTTCTTTGAATTTGGGGGAGAAGGGTGTAAAGGGTTTTCCTAGCATATCTAAAGTTAAGTATTATTTTCAAACAAAAAGAATCTGAAAAAGGAACATATAAATTTACTTTTTCATTCACAACCATCTACTTATGTGTGTATTTTAAATTTACATATGTAAAAATACATATGTGCTATATTGCAACAAGTCTATGGAAAGGATAACTTTGTACATTTGGATCCCCACTTTTACTTTTTAATTAATAAAGAATATTTGTATGGTTATATTTCCAATTAAAATCACAGGACTTGTTACAGTATTGTAAATAAAACTATTCATTAAAAGCTTCCTAACACATGGTTGTTGATAGGTAATTATGTTTAGTTACACTTACTGATCACCAGTTTATACACAACACTGTGCCTGGCGCTGTCCATGCGAAGATGTGTATTGCCCAGTACCCAAGAGGTCCCAGGTGGTTAGGGAGACCCAGTTACCCAACAGACTAAACAGTGGTGTATTCAACAAGAACAAAGAAAGAATGTGACTTCTAAAGGAGTCAGGAGAAGTAAATGGGGGGAAAAAGATATTGAAAAGTCCAAAGGATGGGATAGAGGGAATTTCAGAAAAATGGACAATCAAAAGTTGTGTATTGAGCACTTAAGATGTACCAGGCACAAGATACAAAAAATGGATAAGACAGTTGTTCCATTCAAAGAGCTCACAGTCTAGCTGAAGAGACAGAAAATATAAAGAAATTATAAAGTTGTTTTTAAAATTTCTTATTGGTGATTAACCAATTCAATAATAAACACATACAGTCCTTAAATCAAAAAGGAGACAGATGGACCCAGGATTAAACCCTAGAGCTTACTGACTCATCCCTCACCCTTTCATGAGGCTCTGTTTTTCAATACACTCACCTAACTAATCAAAACTCCAAAACATTTGAAATATCACATTTAAAAAATTCAGAAGCACACTGTATTATGTGTGCCCATATTCAGAATACAACTGAGTTGTTTTTTAAAAAAGTTTTTAAGCAACCATGCATTGTAGAAATTCACATAAACCAACCATATCAGGCTAATACAAAAAAGTTTTCTCTTAATCTGCCTGGTGAGTATACGGTGCAGAACAAGACTAGCAGGTGTACAGATTCTATTCAGCTTTAATTCAAAAACTGTAAGTGGTTTTGGAGATATAGTCCCTTATGAACAGTTATTTGTGATATCTTTCTGAAGAGTTTATCAACATCCTTTGAGATAAAAGATATTCAGGGATGTCTGGGAAAAAATTCCTAATCATGCATTAATTTTAGCTATAATTTAATCTTACATGTCCATTGATTTTCTTGAATTCAAAGTATTATATTCAAGTCATAACTTCTCCTTAAAGTTTTTTAAAATGAAATAGTTAGCAATGCATAAATATAAGCAAAATAAATACTAAACATAATAGGCCTGTAATATGCCTATCACAGGTTGGCTAAAGAGATCTTCAGGTGATATTATTAAGGGTCCAGCATCTTAAGCTTATTCATCCAT